TGTGATATGGGCATAAACGGGCAAGTTCTTTTCCTCTTGAGTAGAATGAAAGTAAACTGAACTGTAAACCTGATCTTAATTCAAAGATGATGATATCATTACCTGCCGCTGCATATTTAAAGAAAGAAGAGGCATCATCTTTGGCAGTAAACTTTACAGAAAAGAATTTTTTTCTTTGTAGATCACAGTGGAATCCAGACAGTGATTTGCATGAAGGACATGTTGTCTCAGCACAGGAGCTGACTGTACTCTTGCAACCTGTTTTTACCCAGAATTCAAGAAACCTCATCTTGTTCCTGCAAGACACAGTATGTAACATTAATTCCTTTTCTCTCACCAATGCCGAGTGCAAATCTGTACTTAAATGAGATGCTGTGGCCCCTTCTCACCAATCTACTCTCTTTGTTTTTCAGCTTAGCATAGATGATTTCACATACTTCAGTGAATCCTACAGTAACAAGAATCCATTTCAAAATGTTCAGGCAAGAATTTCTCTCTTTTTATTTCTTTATAATCATTATTTAAAAATAAAAAAGATATGAGAAAGATGCAAACAAAAAATAATTGGGAAAATTAAACCAATTTGCAGTAGTTTTCCTATTTAAATTGTTTATTGAGATTATTTCATCTGGGTTAAAAGAAATCAACTGAGTTTGCCCAAATGTTTTGTAGCTATTTTATTTCTGAAGACCATGTTTTCAGAATTCATCATAAATGACGAAATTTTGTATTGGAAAAAACAATATAAGCTTCCAGACTTACACCCCAAGATTCTGTTTTGAAGCCATAGGAAGAAATTATAGGAATCAATTATTTATTCCTGATTTTCAGAAATTAACATCTATTTTATTTTCATTGAAATTGAAGCTCTCTTAACTCATGCAGGGAATTAACTGTTTCATATTTGAATGTAGTTAATATATGACTAGATACTGGATTGTTTCAATCTTCATGAAAAAAAGCCATGCTACTTGATCAGTTTGAAATAAACTCCAGGCACAGAATCGAAGATGGAGTCCTCCTGAGCCGGTCAGCGACTCAACTTCTCTTCTCACTCAGGAGTTTTACAGATTTTGTGCACGGCATCGCTGGCTATACTTACACGACAGTTTATTCAACTGTAATTAGACAAAGGAGACGTTGACACATGGAAGTCATAAAGGCATTCATGTGGG